AGGAGCAGACGGCTGGCTACCCTGGTGTCCATGTCACCAACCTTTCTTCCTCCTGGGCTGATGGGCTGGCTCTGTGTGCCCTGGTGAACCGGCTGCGGCCTGGCCTGCTGTGAGTTGCCAATGAGGCTCAGGGGTCCCTGGCAGACCAATCTCTCTTTCACACCTCTGCCCCTCCCTCTACTTCAGGCAGTGTGGAGTGGTGGGCAGATTACTGTGCGGGAGTTAGCACACCCAGTTGAGTCCCAGCGCCACCACTTGCCCAAGTCACTTCCCCTCCCCAGGGATAGTATTCCTGCCTGAATCTGCCTGCCCTCCTGCCTGAGAATCTTATAAGAATCAAATGCATTCAACAGGGGCAGCTCTGTGAGTGGTAGAGATCCCCAAGCCAGAGGTTGTCCTGGGATCGTGGTGGTGGTGGCGGCAGTATAGCACAGAAAAGAAGAACCCTTCCGCCCTCTGCCTTTGCACTCCCCCAGCCCTTCCCACCGCCCCTATACCCACCATCTCCCCCTCTGATGGGGTCAGGTTCTGGTCTCCCATTGGCTACTCTCCTGATACCCACAGGGAACCCTCAGAGCTGCAGGGAGTTGGGGCTCTGGAAGCGACTGGCTGGGCGCTGAAGATGGCAGAACATGAACTGGGCATCACACCCGTGTTGTCCGCACAGGCAGTGGTGGCAGGAAGTGACCCACTGGGCCTCATCGCCTACCTCAGCCACTTCCACAGTGCCTTCAAAAGCACAGGCCACAGCCCAGGTGAGCTGGAGGGTGAGACGAGGAGGGGCGTGTGTGTGTGTGTGTGTGTGTGTGTGTGTGTGTGTGAGAGAGAGAGAGAGAGAGAGAGAGAGAGAGGGAAAGGGAGAGAGAGAGAGAGAGAGAGAGGAGGATGCCTTCTGAGGGACAGCCTGGGAGAGGTGTCCCTTTGGGCTGGAGTGTGGTTGGTCTATTCTGGGGGCACAGTATGGCCCATCTACCCTTATACCCCGACTCTCCCTGCAGGCCCCGCCAGCCAAGGCGCCCTGGGGACCTCCAGTGCTGTACTGTTCCTTGGCAAACTGCAGAGGACCCTGCAACGGACCCGGGCCCAGGTGATCTGGGCAGTGGTTCCCAGTGGGGGTCACTGGGGGGAAGGGGAGGACTGGTGGTGCAGAGCCCCATGCTGAGTGTAGGACTTGTTACAGGAAAACGGGGAGGATGCAGGTGGCAAGAAGCCACGCCTGGAGGTAAATACATGCAAGGGCTGGACAGTCCCCTGTCCCATGTTCCGGTCCCTTTCCCGGGACACGTCCCCATGTTCTGTGCCCCCATGTATTGCTCCCCCTGCCCACCCCTCTGTTGTCTCCCTTCCTAGTCTCACTTCCCTTCCCTTCCAGCCCTTCCTATTCATCTGCACACATCCACTCCCCAGCTGATCCTGCCTCTACCTCTACCTCCCGGCCTGAACACTTACCTCCTTAGGTAGAGGCCGAGTCCCCCAGTGCTGAGGAGCCACCTGTCCCAGAGGCTGGTGTACCCCTGACACCCCCCTCACACCAGGAGGTGAGAATGGGGACCCTGCCTGCAGGCAGAGGCTTGGGGTCAGGGAGGGGGTTTCAGGGACAGGGGAGAGCTTCCCAGCTGACCCTGTGGCACGGGGATGGGTGCAGGCTGGTGGCGAGGACCTGTGTGCACTCTGTGGGGAACGCCTCTACATCCTGGAACGCCTGTGCGCCGACGGCCGTTTCTACCACCGGAGCTGCTTCTGCTGCCATGTCTGTGAGGCCACACTGTGGCCAGGTAGCTACGGACAGCACCCAGAAGATGGTGAGTGGGCCCAGGAGGCCCCGAGAGGGACTTTGGGCATGGCCCTGCCCGGAGGCAAGGAGTTGGAAGGTGGAGGGGAATTGGGGTGCTGGGCATGAGGTGGAAACAGGCTCAAGATGGCACTTGGTTCCCCTGAGCTCATATCTCTGTCTCCTCCAAAGCCCCCAAAGTGGGGTTCTAAGGAACCAGGAGGCTAACGGAAGTTCACCTGCAAACCCAGAGTCCTGTCACCCCACCTCCCTGATAAATGGAGCCTCTGGGCATTGTGCTGCCTCCATCTGATGCCTCTCCCCCTCTCTGCCCTCCCCAGGACACTTCTACTGCCTCCAGCACCTGCCCCAGCCACGTCACACAGAGGAGGGCAACGACAGGGGCCCCGGGAGTCAGGTAAAAGCTGCGAGTGTGCTGGGGGCGGGAACGTAACAGCGTCGCATTAAGCCCAGAGGACTTTGCCGGGGTAACTGAATGTTCCCCACTAGAATGTAGTAGGGATTTCTGTTGTTTCACTGACTGCTGCAGCCCAAGTATTCAGAGCACTGTCAGACACTGTCCAGTAAATGAATGAATTCCAGGGCCCACATTTGTCTAAAGGGGTAGCCTCAACCCTGCACTGGGCAGGTCACTGACCAGACCACACGGTGGCTTTTCTAGGACCTCCCCATGCCATCCGGCCCCTCGACTCCCGTGGCCCCCCAGGAGGGGACCAGTTCTGTCCCAAGCCCCAACCAGCCCACCCGTCGGCCGATCCGCCTCTCCAGCCCAGAACGCAAGAGGTTGTCCTCCCTTAATTTGACCCCTGACCCGGAAATGAAGCCTCCACCCAAGCCCCCCCGCAGCTGCTCTGCCTTGGCCCGCCAGGCCCTGGAGGGCAGCTTCCTGGGATGGGGAGTGCCAATCCAGAGCCCTCAAGGTAACTGCTCTGCCCAGAGGTGCTGACCCAGGGTGGGGATGGGCAGGTGGTGCTGGGATTCCTGGAGGGGCATGCTGGGGAATGGAAAGGGAGATTGGGGACCCCGGGTCATGTCTACTTCTCTGCTCAGTTCTTATGGCCATGGAGAAGGAGGAAGAAGGGAACGCCTCCTCCAGTGAAGAGGAAGAAGAGGAAAAGGAAGACGTGGCTTTGGACTCAGACGTGGAACAGGTGAGTGGAAGAAACCTGGCCCCGTTCTGCTCACGCCGTCCCACCCCCCGCCACAGGAGAAACCCACAGCTGTTCACGCCTCTGAACCCTGTTCTCGGAAGGTCTTCTCACCCAGTCTGACTCTTTCATGGCTCTAAGCTTCCATCTTTTCTACCAGAACTCACCCCCCCTTCCAGCCCAGGTTCCTTTTGGCCCCTTCCAGACCAATCTCCCCCAACCCCTATCCACCAAGAGGCCAGGCCCTGCCCCTGACTGGTCTGACCCGCCGTAGGCTCTGCTGACCTTCGCCAAGAACTCAGGCACCATGGACAAGTACCCCACCTGGCGGCGGACCCTGCTGCGCCGTGCTAAGGAGGAGGAGATGAAGAGGTTCTGCAAGGCCCAGGTGGGACTAGGGCTTCCCAGTTCTGATGGGCTCAGTGTGAGGCTGGGGACCAGAGCTTCGCCAGTGCTCCGTTCTTGAACAATCCAGACTTCTGGGTCTCGTCTTGTCCTCCTCAGAGCATCCAGCGGCGACTGAATGAGATTGAGGCTGCTCTGAGGGAGCTGGAGGCCGAGGGGATGAAGGTGGAGCTGGCCTTGAGGAACCAGAGCAGTGAGTGCAGCTGGGGGAGGATAAGCTGGGGTACCCCTTTGCCTCTGGCACTGTGTACAGCTCCCAGCGATCCCCCAAACCACTAGGCTCCGGCCCACAGCAGGTTCCATTCCTCATGCTCAGGACTCCTATGGCCCTGGTTGGAGGCCTCCGGACCACCCATTGTTCTTCTTTCTCATCAGGTTCCCCAGAACAGCAAAAGGCACTGTGGATAAAACAGCTGCTACACCTCGTTGAGAAGAAGAACAGCCTGTTGGCTGAGGAGGCTGAGCTCATGATCAAGTAAGGGACATGGGGAGGTGACAGTGTCTTATGAGCCAGGCCCAGCTAGGTCCTTGGGCACCATGGACGCTGTGCCCCCTCTATCCCTGCCCTCCACAGGGTACAGGAGCTGAGCCTGGAGGAGAAACAATTGCAGCTGGACCAGGAGCTTCGAGGCTACATGAACCGGGAAGGTATGCAGGATGTGGGGAGAGGCAGACATCATGGGGCTGGAGTTTGTAGGAGCCTTGTGATCTCAGTCCTCTAGTCAGAGTCCCTCCAACGCGAGGACGCCAGAGGAAGGGACAGCAGCCCCCACTCTGCCTGCAGTTCCATCAGAGCAGTGCATTTGGGCTTTTGTGTAGGATTTCCGTTTAAAGCGGTGCCGCTGGGAAACAAAGCTAGAAAACCACTGGTGCTGACCAACCTACTTTACAGATTAGGAAACAAAGGTCAGGTTGTAGAAATCACACAGGCCAGGAGTAGGCTGTGCCTCTCTGGCCTCCCGGCCCAGTTCTCTAAGCTTCGTCTTCTCCCTTCAGAAAGCCTAAAGACAGCTGCCGACCGGCAGGCTGAGGAGATGATCCTGAAGAAGCTGGTGAGTGTGGTGAACCAGCGAGATGCCCTCATCCGCTTCCAGGAGGAGTGCCGGCTCAGCGAGCTGGCATCAGGGCCAAAGGCCCAGGGCTAGAGGAGGGTGGGCTACCTGCCTTCCTCCCTAAAAGACCATCCCACCCAAGGACAGTGCCACCCTGCTCATCTGGGCTGCTTGGGAGAGGGCCTCACTGTTGACAATAAAAATGTGTTTGCCACCCACAGGACTGAGGCTGCCCGCAGATGGGAGATGGGATGTGTAGGGAGAGCAGATGTGTAGGAAGGAGCCTGAAGGTCTACACCAGTGACGGCGAACCTTTTGAGCTCGGCGTGTCAGCATTTTGAAAAACCCTAACTTAACTCTGGTGCTGTGTCACATATAGAAATTTTTTGATATTTGCAACCATAGTAAAACAAAGATTTATATTTTTGATATTTATTTTATATATTTAAATGCCATTTAACAAAAAAAAAATCAACCAAAAAGATGAGTTCGCATGTCACTTTTGACACGTGTCATAGGTTCGCTATCACTGGTCTACACTGTGACCGTGACTGTGACCATTGGCCCCAATCACTGCCTCTACAAGAAAAAAAGGCAGAGCCATCCAAGTGCCAAGCTTTATTGGTCCTCAGCCCTGTTCCCCTCCTGATGACCCAGGGACAAGGCTGGCTGAGACTCTGGACCCAGGTCCTGGGCCTCCCTTGCCCTTCCCAGCACATGCTGGAGCTCAGCCCGGGCCTTACATAAGCCCTTGGCCTCCTGCATGTGGAAGGTGTAGACTGCACCTGCCCCCAGCAGCAGTCCTACACTGGGGGTCCACAGCAGTATGGCAACTTCCCTGACCCCACCTCCAGCTGCCAGGCTACACAGCACTGCCAAGAGAAGCAGCCCCAGACCAATCACGTAGCCAGCACAGGTGGCCCACCGCCGAGCTTGAGCCACAGCCTGATCCAGCTCTGTCAAAGCCTCCCTTAGCACAGTGACCAATGGTGAATTCTCTGCTGCTCCTAGAACAGGGCAGGGCAGTGGGGCAGAAGAGAGGGTCAGCGTGGAAGGGCTGCCCTGTGGTGGGGAGGGACCAAAGGAAAGGGTGGGGGTGGCTCACCATGGGTAGAGCTTGGGTCCTCCTGGGGTGGGCTGTGTCTCACACACAGAGTAGCCATCAGGGCCTCATGATCAGAGAGTGGGGAGCCACTGTGAGGGTCAAGGCCTGTGGTAGTTTTGAGAGTCTTACAGGAGATGTAGAACCCAGAAACTGCCTGGGAAAAGTAAAGGCCAGAGAGAGAACATTGCTTTCCCAGAGAACCAGCTCCTGGCTATCCCATTCTCCAGTCATCAGTGAACTAAGACTAGACTGACTGGGCAAAGGAACCACACAGGTTAGTGAGAGAAGAGACGCGGTGGGTGAAGACACAGCGTGGGGAGAGGCCTGACCTTGTAAAGCACATAGTCGATGCGGATGCCACAGGGAAATGGCTGCAGTTCCTTCTGGTTGACGTAGCAGTTGTCGGGTACCATGGTACAACCTTCTTCAGAGCCCTAGGTGAATAGTTGGCTTGTGCCAGGATGCAGGGGAAGAGGGAAAGAAGCTGGGCCTCCAGGTGGGGAAATCATCAGGCAAGTCCCTCACCTTGAAGTCCCGGGTCTCAAGGTAGGCATCACGCAGCCCTGTCCACTCCTTCAGGAGGCGGCAGCCCAGGTCCTTTGGGTGCAAGTTGAGATCCCCGCACAATAGAACCACGTCAGCCTTCTTGGATGTATGGCTGGGGAAACCAGGTGAGTAAGGCCAAGAATTCTTCCCTAGCCAGCCTCCGTCCTATTAGTGAGGCCTTGGCCACCCCTCAGCCCCTGACCCCATCCCACTTCCCTTGTCAAGCCCAGGCTCACACACTGGATGAAATGGGCCAGTTCCCAAGCTTGGACCACACGATGTGCTAGGTAGATGTCCTTCTGTCGATTGTACTCTGCGTGGAGCTGAGCAAGATAAGATGAGATTACAGCAGATGCGACTAAGGGTCCCAAGGGAAGGTCTGCATTAAGCCTGTGTCACTTGGCACGATGCTCGGTAGGGTGAACCTTGCCTACTGACTTTAGGAGAGCCTGCCCTCACGCCCCCAGGCGGTCCAGCCAGAGGAGCCCCGTCTCTCCCTTCCAGGACCAGGCTGCCTGTCCCAGCCCCCAGCACTACCCGCCTGCTTCACTCACATGGGTGACGTAGGCATTGAGGACCAGTCCACTTAGATGGAGCACCAGCAGCCCCACAGCCTTCCCGCAGAACCAGTCACCATGATGGATCTGCAGGCAGGAGGGGGCAAGGAACTCAGGGCTGCTACCCTCTTCCTGCCCATCCCTGCAGCCCTAGGAAGCTGCCTCCTTTACCGTGTTAGTGAGGGCTGGGGAAGGGGGGGGGGGGGGGCGTGGAAGAGGTCAGAAGTCAGAGGTCAGGCATACCATGTAAGGGTAGCCATTGAGAGTGTAGACATGCTGGGTGAATTCCTGGATTGGGTGTTTGGAGAAGACACAGAGGCCACTGCCGATGATGCCACTGAAAGACAAGTCCTGATTAATAACGGCCAGAAAAGCAGGAAGAGAAAGAACCAGTCCTCTTCCCGTCCCTTGTCTCAGCACTTATCAGCTACTTCTTTCTGTCTGTGCTGGGGCCAGCCCCAGAACACAGCTCAAAGCCACAGCCTTGTGGGATGAACGATAAGGCGACCCGATGATGAGGCCGAAGGTGAGCTGAAGAGCTAGGATGTTCCTGGTTCCACCCTCTCCCGCTTCCACACCCAGACCAAAGTTGCTAGGGAAGAGGAGGGCAGGTGCAGGCAGGACAGGGTCACAGGGTCGGGCTGGCAGGGCCCAGGGCCTCCGGCCTGAGAACCGGCGTCCAGGCCAGTAGGCTGCTCACCTCCTGAAGTAGTGTGCAGACGGGTAGGTGGGCAACAGCTTCTGCCTCAGGTACTGGAAGTCCTGCTCACTCCACACCTGGGGGGCAGGGGGGAGGGAGGCAGTCCGCCTGGCTCTTCCCTCGGGGAAAGTCTGCAGCCACCGCCCCTCCCACCGGGCTTCCCCCCAGCCCACCTCCTGCAGCAGAGCCAGGTCGAAGCTCTCCAAGTTCAGAAAGTCCGCCAGGCGCTTCACGCGGTCCGCTCGGTGCTTGCTCAGGTAGGGGATGGCCCTAAGGACGGAAGGGCCAGGGGCGGTGACTGCTGGGGCGCTCGGCCCTCCGACCCACTAGCGGGGGCCAGGTGTGGGTTTTGGAGGTGCGGGTTCCCCCAGCCCTCTGAGATGGTAGGACGGGATGTGAGGCTGGCCGCCTCCTCCTGCGGCCCCAGATCGCACCCCGCGGAAGCACTCACCAGCAGTTGAGGTTAAAAACCCTCAGTCTCATGGAGAAGTTGGGCTTCATGGCGGGACGCGCTAAGGACAAGGGACAGATCGGCTTCCTCCGCGACGGGCGCAGTCGGGACCCGAGCGGGCGGGCGGCGCCTCCTCCCGGGGCGGCGCGCACAGGTGGTCAGCCCCGCCCCCGCGCTCCCTGGAAGGCCGGGGCCCGAAGCCGCGCTGGCTCCTAAGCCCCCGCCGCTCCGGCCCGGGGCCCCCTCGCGATCCGAGACAGACGCCCGTGTTACCGGGGCAACCGGGCTGCTGGCCCCAGCTGGCTGCCCCCCGAGCCGGAAAGGCGATCTGTGGCGAAGCCCGGGAGCGTACCGGAGCGAGGCCCGCGCGCGGGGGGGACGCTGACGGGGCTGCGAGCCGGGCTGAGGCGCGCGGGGCGCGGGGCGCGGGGCTCCCGGTTCCTCTCCCCCGAAGCTGTCCTGGGCCTCGGCGGCCCGCGCGCCCTCGCCCGCCTCCCACCCGGCTCACCAGCAACAGGCAAACCAGCCGGGCCGCCGCCGCCCGCCCTTGGCCCCGCCCCTCCCTCCCCCCTCCCTGCGGACGTGGGGGCGGGGCCGCGCGGTTGCCCGGGCGACACGCAGTGTTTGTGCTCGGAGCCGGGCGCGAGCGCCGCGATGGCGGGCCAGTGCCGCTCGCCGTCGCCGCCCGAGCGGCCGCTGCAGGTGAAGGTGGTGGGGGTCTTCAAGAGCTCCAGCTTCCAGATTGCGAAGAGCACCGCAGAGGTAACGGCGGAGCAGCCGCGAGTGCGGGCGGCCCTCCGGCGTCCTCGCCTCGCCCTCGTGGAGGCCGACGGGGGCGGGGGGGTCGATGCTCCGGAGGGGTCGATGCTCCGGAAGGCGGCGCCGGTCTGGTTGGACCTGAGCGTGCAGGGGAAATGTGCGGGTTCGGGGGGCGGGCATTCCACTTCGAGAAGGGCTGCCTTTAAAGGGCCTCCGAGCGAAGGAAGCCTTCAGAGCCTTCAGAACCTTGCTGGGCACAAAGGTAATTCCTCCCCTCTGCGTAGCCACACATTGTGTTCCACATTAACTTTTAACTGGAATTACAGATTTTAAAAATTCACGAAAAAATGTTTAGGAAAAAGCTACCAAATAATTAGCTGATTTATTTATTTATTTATTTTACAAACTCCCACTCCAAGTGATTTTTGAAAACCATTTGGGAAGTTTTATTATTATTATTATTATTTTTTTTAATATATTTTATTGATTTTTTCTACAGAGAGGAAGGGAGAGAGATAGAGAGTTAGAAACATCGATGAGAGAGAAACATCGATCAGCTGCCTCCTGCACACTCCCCGCTAGGGATGTGCCCGCAACCCAGGCACATGCCCTTGACCGTAATCGAACCCGGGACCTCTCAGTCCGCAGGCTGACGCTCTATCCACTGAGCCAAACCGGTTTTGGCTTTTATTATTATTTAAAATTTCTATAGCAGTCACTACATTCCAATCGAAGTAGGTGCTTGAGGGGATTTCTTCATAAATGACCAACCATCAGGTGCTTTGGAGAATACAGATAATTATTTGTAAACACACAGAACGATCTAGATGGAAAAACACTTTAATTGGAATGATGTGGCCAGGTCAGTGATGTTGCAACACACCTATAACCCCGGTGCCGGGGAAATGTAGAATTCAGCATGTCTTTGGGGTTTGCTCCAGAATTGATGCTTTAAAATTATGCCACGCTTCTCTCCTTCCCACTCGACTCTAGGACAATACCTTATTCATGTTTATATCTTCCAAAGTACTCAGCTGGATACTTAACACAAAATGTTCCCAAACAGAAAAAATCTTAAATTGCTATCTTGCCTAGTCCAAGTCCACAGAGTTAAAGAAAAGTTTGTAATTATATCAAGTCAGGAAATAGTAACTAATTTGTGAAATAGGTAAAGTTTACATCAAAATGAAGAGAATAAGTGATCAGAAGGCTTTGGAAACAATATATGGGTCATCAAAACAAGTAGAAATTGTTTGTGTTATTTGGGCTGATGGGATCAACCTAGTTTTATGGCCTAAATTGTAATTCATGTGTTTGAGGAATTTTATCCCTTTGTTTTTCTCAGCAACTTTTATGAAAGCACGTGTTTTCTGTGCCTGCTCCACACTGTAGATAAGGTGTGGGCAGTGTTTTTGTGTAAAGTCCAGATATTAGATTATTAGGCCTTCGGGCCCATAGATTTTCGATGGCTACTACTCAGCTCTGTCCTTGTGGTGCAAAAGCACCCACAGACAATATGTAAATGAGTAGTGGTTTTCCAATAAAACTATTGTGCACACTACAATTTGACTTGCATATAATTTCACATGACATGAGATATGATTCTTTTGATTTTTTGATTTGGCCTGCTGTAGAGCACACACTAAGTCAAGAAAACAATGCCGTTATTATGTTAGTAATGATAATTTCCCTTTCGTAAGCTTTTGCCTACTGTAGCTCTATTTGAATATGAAGGCATCAATGTAAATTCAGTTAGTTCTATCTCAATAAAGGATCTGTGAAAATAAGTCCAATGTGATAATTTGTGAGCAATCCCAGATGCCTAAGTAACTGACAAAGATTCAGATTTCTAAAGAGTAAGTATTGCCCTAACCGGTTTGGCTCAGTGGATAGAGCATCGGCCTGCGGACTGAAGGGTCCCGGGTTCGATTCCAGTCAAGGGCATGTACCTTGGTTGCGGGCACATCCCCAGTAGGGAGTGTGCAGGAGGCAGCTGGTGGATGTTTCTCTCTCATTGATGTTTCTAACTCTCTATCCCTCTTCCTTCCTCTCTGTAAAAAATCAATAAAATATATTTTTTAAAAAAGAGTAAGTATTACATAATATACTAATTTGGAAGAAGTCCATTTTAGAACAAACACTAAATTACGAAGAAAGTGTGGTTAAGTATGCTCAATTTGAAAACTGTTGGGCTTAGTTATTCCAGGTGGTCCCTCAGTTCGAGACAGTCATCCTGCACAGTTGCCTCAGACTCCGCAGACCCCGGAATTGAGAAAAAAGCACACATCATCTGCTGGTTGGGGACAGTAGTCTAGGAAGGAAATGGCCAGATTGCTGTTGCCCTCTTCTGCTATCCCTAGTCCCAAGGCAAGACGCCCTCACATCCTGGCTGTCTACCCTTGAAACGTGCCAGATCAGTGTCCTGTTAGACCACGATGGGAGAGGCCAGCTGTCACTTCTCCCTGTTGGCCCATCTATTCCTCAGACCCACTCAGAAAGGTGAGGTCTAATTGTTGTTGCCTCAACTACCTTCTCTTGCTTTAGGAGGAGGAAAAGTATGACAGATTAGGAGTTAAAACTTTTTATTTTTGACAGGGATTGTTAACTAGTAAGAATTTTCTCTGAATCATAAAGACAAAATAATATACGTTAAACTAAAACATGCTCAATATCTAAACCTAAACATATTTAGGATTTACTTCTCTTTTTCGCAAGAGGTATAACCACAACCGTATCCTTTTGGTCATTCTCCATATATCAGTGAATTAAGCAATAATTAAATAATTAAATAAATAAGCATCTATTTATTTTAGCTAAAAGTATCCATAGATCCACTGAGGGTTAGTAAGAGTTTAACTTAGGAAAACTGGTTCTAAAAGAACATGGCATATATAATACTTTTTGTAATACTTTAAGCAATAAAACAAAATTTAAAAGAATAATAAAAAATAAATAAATACAGTTCCTCAAAAAAAAAAAAGATGAACAAAAATAGATACAGAGGCGGAGTAGCATCGAACACACTATCAAACTACAGCGGGAAGGCTGGGGAGGGTTGGGGGGCAGGAGGGGGGGGGTAAGAGATCAACCGAAGGACTTGTATGCATGCATATAAGCATAACCAATGGACACAAGACACTGGGGGGTAGGGGAAGCTGGGGGAATGTCAAGAAGGGGGGAAAAAGGAGACATATATAATATTCTTTGTAATACTTTAAGCAATAAAACAAAACTTAAAAGAATAATAAAAAATAAATACAGTTCCTCAAAAAAAAAAAAAGAACATGGCAGATCACAAAACTATTGGCACAAACTTGTTTATTTGTTCATTTGTTTATTCAGTTGCTATGTGTAAATGATCCACTCTATGCCAGATGTTGAGGCCAGTGGAAATATAGGAAAACTAAGACATAGTCTTTGTCCTCAAAGAAACGAAGAAGACGGAGCACCAGTATGGACTGGGGAGTGACTTAATGGAAGTAAACACAGGGTCCTGGGTGGCTGGCAAGGGGCATCTAACCGGACTGCAGCTCGGATATGCGTGGTGTAAAATTTCTTGGAGACCTCATAAAAATTGGGGGAAATTATTACTACTTTAAAAAAACGTACTCTAAACTAATTGTTCTATTTTGAAACCTAGTGTCTGAAGAGCAATTTTCCATCCAAATTTGATGATCCTATAATGGTTCCTCTTCAAGAATTTGCATGGGATCAATATCTACAGAAGAAGAAAAGGGTAAAGGATATTCGGGATGGGGGAAATGAGCAAAGTTTTCCCTGAAGTATTTTTATGCATTGTTTTGGAAAAACTGAAGTAGTAATTTTAGCGCAACTAACTTATTTCTCTAAATCATGCACTGTTCCTAAATCATTTCATTCATTGACCAGACTGATTTTAAGAAAAAGTAAAATATTTACAGGATTTTCTTTAGGAAGGCATGTGATAAAGGTAAGTTTTAAACTCTCAATGCTGCTATTTACCCCTCTTTGCCTGCACGTCGCTCACTCACAATACCTCTGACACCCTGATGCTCAGGTGTTACGGCCGGGCACTCTTCTCTCTGGAAGGTTTTGGTTTGGGATCACAGATATAATGAGGGGCTTGTGTTGCTTAGGGGAACTCTGATGACAGGCACCAGGTTCCCACAGGGTCGCCTTGTGCTAACTGAAGTTTCCTTCTCCGCCTCTCCTCCCCAACAGTACGCTTGGTGAATCCCAGGGCTAGCAGAGAGGGCAGATAGGTTTTCTCTTGGGTGCCAACCCTGATAAGTTGTAGTGCTGCCTGGAGGATGTGATGTGGATTCTAAGGTGGCGTCCTAGCTCAGCAATGTCTCATTTTGTGCAATGGTGGGGGCTGGAATGGTGTATACGCCTTGCTTGATACCCCTGGCCCAGTCCCATAGAGACTCCCAGTCCTGGTTTCCCTGCCCCACCCGATCTGGCCAGTGGCTGATGAAATCCCATGCCCCCTGACCAGATCAGTTTCGATTGTTCTGTGCTTGATTGCACAACGAAGTCCTGTGACCCTGTGATTATCAAGCAGATAGTGTTGCTTTACCGGACACCACTTCACTCTCCAGTCACAGGAATGGTGCAGAACGGAGTCAAGAATACCACTCGTTAAGTCTCATGCCATTTTCATAGCCATAATACCTTTTCATTGGCATTCAAATACAATCATAGCAAACACTTACAGATGGTGCTTATTATATGCCAGACACTATTCTAATAGCTTCTACATATATTAACTCTAATCCTGACACCAACCAGGGTGGCCGATGGCCCTGGTTTACCTGGGACGGAGGAGTTTCCTGGGATACAGAAATTTTAATGCCAACGCTGGGTCAGTCTTGGGCAAACCAGGACTGTTGGGCACCCTAACATAAAACAATGTTTTTCTTTTTAAAAAATATTTTTTATTAATTTCAGAGAGGAAGGAAGAGGAAGAGAGAGACAGAAACATCACTGGGGATTGAGCCCACAGCCTGGGCATGTGCCCTTGACCGGACTTGAACCTGGGACCCTTTAGTCCGCAGGTCGATACTCTATCCATTGAACCAAACCGGCTAGGGCAAACAATGTTTTTCTTAATTTTTATCATCAGACTTACTATACTGTGTACCAACCAGCATCACGCTCTGCACCTCCAGGAACCATGATCTTGGGTTTTACTTGCACCTGCTCCTCTGATATTTTCCCACTATACTCTTTAAAGGGTATTTTCTTGCCCTTTTCAGCCTGGGTTGTTGACCTTGAAATGTTTTGTGTTCTCTTCCTCCTGCGTTTCTCATGAGGCCTGAATGAGGCTTTCTAGATCATCATTGCTGCTGCTTTCCTATTCTTTATTCCTTCTTCTTCCTTTCTTCCTTCTCTAACCTTCCTCTCCTGGATAATTATCACTTTACCCTTCTCTTCCTTTTCAGGCCAGTATTTTGTCCTTCAATGTAAGTGTTGTGTCACCTGTCAGCTGTCGTGCTTCTTAGCACATTTGCGGTTAGGTCCAGGCTGGCCTTGGTCTTCAGCAGAATGTGTTGCACACCCGAGGGATGGCTTCAGGGCTCTTGAAATGCCTTTCTCTCCTCTCTAGAAAGGCAGTGTCGTACACCTAGTACTGGAAAGCCCCAGAAACCATCAGGTTCAGTCACTATCCTGAGGCAGGCGAGGACTCCTCATGTACAGAAGACAGAGTTGAGGCATTATGTCTTCAGCCTCTGAGTAAAGTGTATCTCCTACTGTATGTCTCCCGTGAAGCGAACTAAAATATCCACAGTTAAACTTTTTCTCCCCTTTTCCAAGTTTTGTGTCCTGTGAAATGTGATAACATTGGTCAAGTTAAGCAGTCTGGGAAGTATTGACCTGTAAGCTCTATCAGTGATTTATAGTTCAGCATGAACAAGTGTATTTTCTTTCTTTTTTTCAAAAATAATATTTTTATTGATTTCAGAGAGGAAAGGAGAGGGGGAGAGAGAGAGAAACATCAATGATGAGAGAGAATCATTGATTGGCTGCCTCCTGCGCGCCCCACATTGGGGATCAAGCCCAAAACCTGGGCATCATAGGTTGACACTCAACCACTGAGCCAAGCTGGCTGGACTCTATTCTCTTTCTTGAACAGGTTTTGATAAGGGCATGAGAAGTGACAGCTGAATAAGAAATCTCAAGATGAGCTGAAATGGAACGAGTTAGCAAATTGAAGGCAGGCTGTTCCCCAAACCAGCATTTCTCTAAATGCGGTCTCTAGACCAGCTGCATTGGCATCTCCTGGGATGTTCTTAGAAATGAAAATTCTCAGGCCCCACCCCAGAATCAGAAACTCAGGTGGGGCCTTGGGAATTTGTAATTTTAATTGCCCGCTAAAATTAGAGAACAGCTGTCCCAAATTAGACATGGTTCTGACATGTGACATAACACTGGGAATAATAAACCAGAATCCTCGGAGGGGACACAACTGGGATCAGGAGGTTGACTGGCAGTGTTGTGTGGATGAAAACGCACTTAGTACTTGAAAGTGCTGATGCAGGTGAGTCCTCTTCCTCACTTCCCCTTGGGTGCCCAGAAGTTCCTGTTGGCCCTCACCCTGACCCCACCTCCATGAATAAAGCATTCTTCCCATGCTTTGCACTGAAAACCATGTCTTGGGACCCCTGACCTTCCCATATATGCACACTCCCTGTATGCACACAGTCAGATGTGCTTCAGAAATGACACTACAGCCCTGGCCGGCGTGGTTCAATGGTTGGAGCATCGGCTGAAGAGTCTCGGATTTCATTCCAAGTTAAGGGCTCCTAACAGGGTTACAGGCTCACACCTGGGTTGTGGGTTCACTCCCCACTCCCATCGTGGCATATGTGGTCAATGTTGCCCCCTCCTCCCTTACACTCTCTCTGAAAAGCACTGGAAAAAATACCCTCAGGTGAGAATTAACCAAAAATAAAAAAACAAAATGACACCACAGATTGCCTTTCGTTTCAAGTTACTGTAACAAGTTTGCTACACACAGATTTTTATTACCAGGTCACCATCTATTTTCTATGATTATATCATTTTTAAGATTATTTTTAGGTCATTCTTTAAGTGATGTCAGAGTCTTGAACAATGTTCTTAAATTCTTGCTGAGAGCAAAATTCTGAGAGGTTGCAAAAAATATGTATTTTAGAGATTTAGACCTAGAGCTGAATTCAAGATCTGGCTTGTGGATTTAGCATGCGCTTATTGTTGTTGTTTTCTTTCTTTGTTACATTTTTTTTTCCCTTTACAGGAACTTAAGAATGAAGTCTGGGAATATTCTTCCAATGTCATGTGTTTTATTAATGATCTGCTGCTGGGTGATGCACTTGAACTTCAGAAATGGGCCCACAAGGTGTGGGATATGATTGACTATAAGCCTCCTGCACTTTATGAGGCACTTACTATGGATTTTTCTACTAAATTCTTAAGCGACACCAAGGCAAGTTAACACTGACTTTTAAAGAAAAGAGTGGAACCTTGATGATTATGTTGACTCAGCATTAATTACTGATATCCCTAATGGAGGGGAATATAAAAAGAGTAGGAGACCAGGTTTTGCGGAAGGATTATAATTGTGGGCAGGGTTTGGCAAGCCAGGAGAATCTCCATTTCAGAACATTCCCAACTTCCCCTTAGAGAAGCGGGTCCTCAACCCTGTGGGCCGCAACCCCCCGAAAAACAC